CGGACGCTTAACCGACTGCGCCACCCAGGCGCCCCAGGATAGAAACATTTTCTAATGAACTTTTACTACCATGTAAGAATTAAAAGCAAACATATCAAAACTCTTACTAAAATTTCTAGAGGATGGGGCGCGCGTGCGCACACACACACACAAAACACAATAAAAAATATACATACGTATACTTATACAGATCCATGTAAGTTTTCCAGGAAGATATGCAAGGAAATGTTAACCATGGTAGCCTCTGGGGAAGGAGCCCAGGAGATATGAAAGAGAGGCTTTAAACTGCCTAGCATACAGGGGCACCTGGGTGGCTCAGTTGGTTAAGTGGACAACTTCAGCTCAGGTCATAATCTTATGGTTCATGAGTTCAAGCCCCACATCGGGCTGGCTGCTGTCAGTGTAGAGCCCGTTTCAGATCCTCTGTCCCCTTCTCTCTCTGCCCCTTCCCTGCTCACAGTGTCTCTCTCTCTCTCTCTCTCTCTCTCTCTCTCAAATATAAATAAACATTAAAAAAAGTAAAAATAAAAACTGCCTACCATACAAAAGGAGCTTAATCTTTGTTGATGATTCCTCTCCCTCTTCATGGATTATTTCTTAAACATGCAGTGCCTAAAAACTACACTCTAACTCAAGCTGTGAATTGTCTCATCTCAGAATAGCTTAGAGCAGAGATTCCCAACCTTTTAGATTATGTGGACCTCTTGTTAAACTCCAAAATTTTCATGGATCTCCATTAGACAATAGCTCATATAACACCCAATGACTGAAAAAAACATATTAACAATTTCTATACATTCAATAATACTTCAAAAAAATCTACATTGTATTAACTTGTATATTCAAAACCAGTAATACACAAAGGTGGGAGATGTACATTTAGTCTATAAATAATATGAACTGAGCTAGTGAATTTGCAAACTCTGTAATAACCCTACGATTTTTCAAGGCATTTATTTACCCTCAAATTGGGAAATAATGGCATACCATTTTTTATGTCTGTGATACGAATACTCAACTTTCTGCAGCATGAGATCACCTTAGCCAACAACTCAGCCCAGAATTATGTAATTATAAAATTTTGGCTTAAAAAACTTGTTCTTTTTAAGATTTTATTTTTAAGTAATCTCTACACCCAACGTGGGGCTTGAACTAACGACCCCGAGATCAAGAGTCGCATGCTCTACCAACTGAGCCAACCAGGCACCCGTGACTTAGAAAGCTAGAGAACTTGTATGACCACTGCATTTTAGAAATGAAAACAAAGCTCAAGTGCTTTCTTGCCTCTCCTGCCACATCAAGGTTGGATAATCCTGCTTGTGACAGAGAAACTGCTGAGTCTGTCCATACCGAAGAGGGTCCTTAGGCCATCTACTAAATAGGGGCCACCAGAAAGGGTTAGGTAATAAAGGTGTGGCTAGTTCTAGGGAGAGAAAAGGAGCAATTAAAGCTTATGCTGAGGGAACTGGCTTTAGAATACTTTCATTTCAAATTCCTCTCAGGATTTGGGCCTCCAGAGGCCAATCTATAGGCTGGAGGGTAGGTTTAGAGACCTGAAGACAAAGAAATGGGTTCAAAGGAAGGTGGGCTAGTCCTCACTGCTGGGTTAACAGGTCAGGGTGCCAATACCCCGCTGCCACCTGGTAGATAGGTGCACACTAATCTTATTCTCCTACTGGGTCTGACGCTTGATCTATACTAGACTTGCTCATAACTCCAAACTCATGCTAACATCAGGAATGTGATCAAAGAGTTCTACTGTGAGATTCCTGATAAAGCAAAGAAGCTCTAAGTTTCTACCCTTTCTTCAAATAGAGTGGCATCTGCCCAACCGGCCCAAATGAGCCAACTAATCCTCTTCCCTACTCAGCATCTGGGTATTTCAGCCTCTAAGTGTTTTGGGTCAGATTCCTGAAAGGTGATACTGTTATGAAACCCACAATTAGAGGAAGACCACACCCACACTATAAGGATTAAGCCTCTACTCACAGCTTTTTTTTTTTTTTTTTTTAATGTATTTATTATGAGAGAGAGCAAGTGAGTGGGGTAGAGGCAGAGAGAGAATCCCAAGCGGGCTCCGCACTGTTAGTGCAGAGCCCAATGTGGAGCTTGAAATCACAAACCGTGGGATCATGACCTAAGCCGAAATCAAGAGTCAGATGCTTAACTGACTGAACCACCCAAACGCCCCTACCCACAGCTTTCTAATAACCAAGTGTCCTTGATTCTTCCCATTTCCCCTCATTCACAAGAAGTTTCCCCTCCTCTTAAGATGGGGATGGGTGGGTGGTAATCATTCAGTTCTTTCCCTAATCTTATGTTCCCTGTAAGTTCTAAAGCAGAAATTTCAAGAATCTTATTCAATATGTATATGTGACCTTCATTCATTAGTCCCCACCAAACAAACACACAGACACACACACTGATTTCAAACATCTTAAAATAGTATCAGCATGATTATGAGAATTTTGTTTTATGCTCTGCCTCCTCTAGTCCATGGTGGAATGTCAAATGAGGGAATTCTTTTATTCCAAATGAGAAACTAATTTTGTTTCCAGGGCAGGACAGAAAGATACAAACAGCAGTGCTGAGAAGACTCCAAATTAGTCTGGTCTAACTGAAGACAAAAAGGTGCTACACCAGGATCACACTGCTTTGGCTAAGGACTGACACCAAATCCTTTTCCAGAGATAAAACTCCTCTTCAATGAATACTCTCCCCAACTCTCAAGTCTAGCTCTCCCTTGAAGCCCCTGGTAGCTTTCTCACACAGAAGTTTTAGCTTATTCTTGCATTCCCTATGTATTTCAGAGTATAAGACAAGAGTTAGTGTCTTCCTGGTTCTCAATGTCTCTTCTAGATCTAAGTTATCCAGCATCATTTTAAATTCCTACTCCCCTGAGGCTCCTATCACCTAGCTATATACCTCTATGCCTTCCTTGAGCCAACCCTGCCACAGACTTGGAAGACTAGCAAGATGCTCACTCTTCACCTCTGCTACAGGCCATCTGTTTCCATGCCCACACTCCAGACAAGTCTTATCTGGAACTGCTATACATTTCTTTTTTAAGCAGGCTCCACACCCAATGTGGGGCTTGAACTCACAACCCACGACCCTGAGATCAAGAGTTGCCTACTCTGCCGACTGAGCCAGACAGGCACCCCTGCTATACATTTTATTTTTATGCCATACATTTTTAAAAAAGTAAACCTGCTCCTCTTTAAAACTCTTCAATACTCCTTTGATCAAAACTACCACATGCAGGGGCACCTGAGAGGCTCAGTTAGTTGGTTGAGTGAGTGACTTCGGCTCAGGTCATGATCTCATGGTTCCTGAGTTCCAGCCCCACATCAGGCTCTGTGCTGACAACTCAGAGCCTGGAGCCTGCTTCGGATTCTGTGTCTCCCTCTCTCTCTGCTCCTCCCTGATTCGCGCTCTCTCATAAATAAATAAACATTAAAAAATAAAACTAAAAAACTGCCACATGCAAAAAAAAAAGTTAGACCCCCACCTCACCCCATATACAAAAATTAACTCAAATGAATCAAAGTCCTAAATTTAAGAGCTAAAACTATAGAACTCTTAGAAGAAAACAGGAGTTAATCTTCATGACTTTGGTTTTGGCATGGATTCAGCCTTCTTAGATATGACATCAAAAGCACAAACAAAAAGAAAAAAAAACAGATATATTAGACTTCATCAAAATTGAAACCTTACACCATTAAGAAAGTAGAGGGGCGCCTGGGTGGCGCAGTCGGTTAAGCGTCCGACTTCAGCCAGGTCACGATCTGTGGTTCGTAGGTTGGTGCCGTTCCCGCCGAGCCGCGTCGGGCTCTGGGCTGATGGCTGAGAGCCTGAGCCTGGGCCTGTTTCCGATTC